GTCCCACATCGGGCTACCCGCTCAGCGGGAAGCCTGCTTCTCCCTCTCCCTCTCCCCCTGCTTGTGTTCCTGCTCTCACTGTGTGTCTCTCTGTCAAATAAATAAATAAAATCTTAAAAAAAAAAAAAAAAACTTACTTTGAGTTCCCTTTCATTTGTCTTCAATTTTTCTTTGAAAATAAAATGTTCCAAAGAACATTATATTACAGATTTTTTTCCTTATTTCTAGATTCTTAGAAGTGGGAATTGTGCTTCTGATACAATGAGTACTAACCACATGTAGCTACTAAGCACCTGAAATGTGGCTAGTATGGCTAAGAAACTCAACTCATTTAAGTAATCCTAATTAATTTAAAATTAAATTTAAAAACTGATACTTGAAAAAAAATACTTGATTCAGTTATTGGAAAAATTTTAAGTTATGTCTGGAACACATCGAGTAGCTTCATCTACTTTATTCAATTGTAAATTTTATGAAAGCTAAATACCAATCAAGTATTTTCAATTAAAATTTAGCATCAGAACTGAGATATGCCGTAAATGTAAAATACATTCCTGATTTCAAAGGCTTAGCACAAAAAAATACACAAATTATCTCATTAATAATTCTATATTGATTATATGTTGAAATGATAACATTTTAAATATTTTGGGTTAATTAAATTATATCATTAGAATTAATTACATCTGTTTATTTTTGGGTTTTTAATTTTTTTTACCTTTTTTTTGTTTGATTTTTAAATTTATTTTTATTTAGGGAGAGAGCACACTGAGGCACTTGAGTTGGATAGAGGAAGAGGGAGAGGGAGAGAGAGAATCTTAAGCAGACTCCACACTGAGCATGGGACCAACACGAGGCTTGATCCCAGGACCCTGAGATCATGACTTGAGCCGAAACCAAGAGTCAGAGGCTTTGACTGAGTTACCTAGGTGCCCCTATTTTTTTTACATTTTTAATGTGGCTTATAGAAACTTTAAAATTACATACTGTGGAGAACATATAGACTTGTTGAATCTCTAAGTTGTACATCTAAAACTAATGTGTGTCAACTATACTCAATAAAAGAATTTGTTTTAATTTAAAAATAAAATAAAATTGCATATATGGTTCATATCGTATTTCTTCTTGGATAATGCTGCTCTAGAAAAACCATACAAATTTTCCTGTACTCTAGCCACCTAACACAACTACATTATATTAAATTCATCTTCTTCTATGGGTATTTAAACACCGGCTAAATAAACTATACACCCTTAATTTCATCATGCTGTAAATGTACATTTTACAAGCCAATTTTTTGGAAACATAGTTCAGTAATCTTGAACTATCATAGCATCATGGGTTCAATGAATTATTTTGAAAGGAAAAATGAGATATTTTATTCCATCATAACAATCTGTTTCTAAAATCAGAATGTCTTCTTTTCATAAAATTATGATGTATAACATTTGCTTATGGTTTTAAACCACTGTTAATGATTTAATAAATGTACAAAGTTATTGTACTATAATTTGAATATAATTTCTAGATATAATTAGAAAATCCATATATTCATTTACACATTTCTGTAAATCCTTTATATTTTTTCCTTAACGTCATCCTACAATACACATATGCAAAAAAGGGGCATCTAGATTAAAGATACATCTGATTCTGTCCTCGCTTTCCAGGCAAATAAGTGCTGAAAATTTCTGTTGGAGAATAATGAACACTGGCTGCACTCCTTCAGTGCTTTAAAAGAGATCATATTACTCCTGTTTTTGTGGCAGGTCCCTTGGAAGCCACCCTTAGTTTTCCAGTTACATGCACATAAAGAATGGAAGAATGAAATTATTCAAAATATTACCCAGACACCTCACTAAATGCCTTGCTTAATTAATTCATTTTTTTTAAGATTTTATTTATTGATTTGACAGAGAGAGACACAGCAAGAGAGGGAACACAAGCAGGGGGAGTGGGAAGGGGAGAAGCAGGCTTCCCACGGAGCAGAGAGCCCGATGCAGGGCTCGATCCCAGGACCCTGGGATCATGACCTGAGCCGAAGGCAGACCTTTAATGACTGAGCCACCTAGGCGCCCTGACTTGCTTAATTTATTATTGAGCATAGTTAGAATTTCAACTCCATAAAAGGTTAAAATTATATAAACATGGATAAACTTAAAGATTAAAAAGTTATAGAATTTCTTTAGATATTAAATTACAAGGACAAAACCTACTTAGCAAATAAGACAGCATGAAAATAATACATATGATTTCTCAATTCACATATAACTCTATTTTCAGGTATGAGATTATACCATAACAAAACACAGAAAATTCTCAATTTAGAATTTTGCAAAATTTAAATGCCAAACTTGTTCATTAAAACACCAAATTATGTGATATGGCTACAATTAAATAAAAAAATAAAAATAACATATCTGAATCATTAATGAAGTACATCTTCATTTCTTATTAGAATTTATAACCCAATAATGTTTTCTCGAATAAGAGAATAGTATTTTATCAAGGAAAAACAAGAATTCAAAAGTAAAATTTCACATCAATAAATGTTATCTTACACACTATAAATGTACAATCAAAAGAAAATTTAGAGAGGCTCCTGGGTGGCTTAGTCGTTAAGCGTCTGCCTTCAGCTCAGGTCATGATCTCAGGGTCCTGGGATCGAGCCCTGCATCGGGCTCCCTGCTCAGCAGGAAGCCTGCTTCTCCCTCTCCCACTCCCCCTGCTTGTGTTCCTGCTCTCGCTATCTCTCACTCTGTCAAATAAAATAAAATAAAATAAAATAAAATAAAATAAAATAAAATAAAATAAAATAATAAAATAAAATAAAATAAAATAATAAAATAAAATAAAATAAAATAAAATAAAATAAATAAAATAAAATAAAAACAAAACAAAAGAAAATTTAGAGCTCATAGTTTCCATAATCTTAACTTCCTCAGTTTTTGCTTTGGAAGTAAACTACAATAATATATTTTTTCATATTGTATGTATAACCTACATACAGAATATTGACAGAAAGATGAATTACGTGTTTAATAAATATATTTAAAAGTGTTCTCCCTTCTTTAGAATTTCAATTTAGTATTTCTCTCTAAATGAAAATTTATTTGCTACATTCAGTATATAATGGTAAAGATAAATGTTTTAAATAATGTTTTAGTCACTAATGATTACAGATGCTTCTCTTGTCTCTCTGATATTTGTTGAATCACGCCGTGCAATTTTATATGCGATTTTATATTTACATTTATATAGTTTGACTTTAATATTTCTTAAAAAGAGACTTGTCTAACGTCAGAAATTAAAATTGCTAAACTCAGAATTTAGAGAAGACTAGATAGAGAATATTTAAAGGCACTATACAAATAAATATGTTAAACTGAATTTAATTAAGTATATTTATTTTACCCGTCAATTAGCAGTTTATAAACCCAAATCCTATATCAGGATTAGAAACTGCCTATTTCGGGGTGCCTGATCAACTCTTGATTTCAGCTCAGGTCATGATCTCAGGGTCCTGGGATCGAGACCCACCTTGGGCTCCCCATCAGCTCGGAGTCTGCTTGGAATTCTTTCTCCCTCTGCTCCCTGCCCCGCTCGCTCGCGCACTCTCACTTTCACTCTCTCACTCTCTAAATAAATAAAACCTTAAACCAAAAAAGAACTTGCGTATTTCTTTCTTTAAATAGTTGGCAGTACACTTTAACATGGTATATAGTAAAAAGAAAAACTTGCTCAGTCATTAATCTTGACATGATATTAAAACAATCTCCAAATCTCTAGGCCTCAAATTCCTATCTCTGAAACAGGGCGGGATTGGGAAAGTGAAAATTTAATGATTTCCAATTTCCTTTCCAAATCTAAAATCCTATAACTTTACAACTATATGATTTGGAAAGCAACTTAGCAATACCTGGATTCTTCACCATAGCCAAATAAAATAGGTGTTTTCAGTAATTGGGTAAATAATAGAATCTTAAAGCTTCCTCCACCATTTTCTCCTGCCAATAATGAACTGAAATTAGAACATCTATTTTATGTCACTCAAGAATATTTGCCCAAGAATTCTTCAGTACTTGAAAAAAAAAAAGGTAATTATAACCAGCCTGAATTATTAAAGTTCTAAGGTTCTATAAAGTTCAGTTTTGAAATCTCCCTTCTTATATGCTTATATATTAACTTCTTATTTTCTTCATTAGCTACTAAAAAGGATAGAGTATAAAAGTACTCATATTTAGAGGGTATTTTTAAGAAGCCATGGGATCTTACCATCTACTTCCTCACTCATCATAATTATAATCACCATCACTGCCACCACCACCAACTATAAAATACTTACAAGTGCCAGAGCATTCTGTGCAGTAGCTAATTATTTCTCACAATTCTGTAAGAAAAGGCAATATTATCCTGCCCTCTTTTAGAGATAAGGAAACGTAGGCTTGGGGAGATTGGGCAATCTGCCCAAGGTCACATAGCTTTGAAGTGGTACAGCCTATATCTAAATAAACCAGCTGTTCCCAGAGCCTCTGCTCTTACTGACCAGGATAACATATCCATCAGTATTCAGGATTTAAGGAAGACAGCCAGTAATAGTCAATAGGGGAAAAAGAAAAAAAAGGAAAAAAGCTGCACAAACTCAGAGAATACTGCCTGCTATACTACAGCTCATCAAAAGACATAGATTTCTCATGTATGTCCTGAGAGATTATACATACATAAAGGAAAAAAATAATACCACAAGTATTAAAATCAATATGGCTTCTGAGCCTTTGACTTTCTCTAAAATACTATTTTACTTTGCGGTGGAGAAAGAGAGGTTTTATATCATCACAATTCTAACCCTACGGAATAATTACTGTTTTCCCTTCCCTGCCTTAATTTCTAGTTAGGTGACTGCTGGAGTTAGAAAGACTGGAATGGGACCAGGACAGCTGCTTAGCTTTCTCATTAGAGGACTCACAGCTAAGTTACCTTGGATGTTTTATCACAGTCCAGATAATGGCCCTAAGGTTCAGATTTAGAAACCTAATTTAACTTTAACAGATCCACATTAACCATGTTCACAGACTGTCAATTCACTGATTTACAATTATGAATTTATAATTATCACACAGGTAAGTATCCAGATTAGCATGACTGGTGCATACTTTCTCTATCGGCAGATCTACATGAGAAATCAAATTATAACCAGAAGGCGAGGAAATGATACAGAAGCAGAATTAGTTGTTATTTTCCTCAAATAAGATCTTGGCATAACTTATCAACAGGCCCTTACTATACTTGAAGTCTCATTGGCCAGGATTAGAAATTGCATATTTCTTTCTTTTAAATAATTAGCAGTATGACTTTAATATGGTTTAATAAAAAGAAAACATTTTAGGGGCATCTGGCTGGCTGAGTTAGGAGAGCATGGGACTCCTGAGTTGTGAGTTTGAGCCCCACAGAGAGATTGGGCAGAGAGATTACAGAGAAAGAAAGAAAAAAAGGAAGAAAGAAATTTGAATAAATAAGTAAATAATATTTTAAGAAAAAAATTTTAGTTCCCTGAGAATAATTTAGATGACCACTGCCCAGATTTGTCCCTGTCTTTCTTTTTCCTGTGCTTCCACAGTTGACCAATGGAACTCATGAAGGTGTTCTTTCTTTAGACTTCAGTCAAGTCTTCCTGAAGCCTAGAATTAATGCTTTTTTAATATATGTTTTTTTAAAGATTTTCTTTATATATTTAGAGAGAGAGTACAAGCAGGGGAAGCAAAAGGAAAGGGAGAGAGAATCTCAAGCAGACTCAGTGCTGAGCACAGAGCCCAACTAGGGGCTCAAGCTCACGACCCTGAAATCATGACCTGAGCCAAAATCAAGAGTCGGTCGCCTAACGATGACCCAGCTCCCTGGGGAGCCACCCAGGTGCCCAATGCTGTCTTTTAAGGTGACTTTAATATTTTTGTTCTGACCAATTTAGTACAGTATTGATTGTACTTTCAGAGGTTGATCTTATTTCCCTTATTTCTAAATTTCTAGGGGAACCGCCTAGTTGTTCCCAAGTGAGAAAGAATTTTAGTTAATAAAAATTTAAGTATTTGCATTGCAGTTCCTGAGATAAGGCTTTTTGTATGTCTACTGCTCTGTCCTAAGAGCTTGAAAATTTATTGAGTTACAACACATCTAGTTTGTACATTTATGGGGAAAAAATCCTCCGAGGTACCTCATCCTTAATTCTGTAAAAAAACAGATAATCTAAAACTTTCTGCAGGGCAGGCAAAGGGGCTCAATCTACATGAGCACAGCTGAGGTTCTGCAGCAAAGTGACAACAGGAAGCCCTTCTACAAGGGGGCCGAGAGACGAAGGACCATCCCTTTAACACCACAGCTACTGAGACCACTGACTGTCCTGGTTAGGAAGACTACTTACGTGAGGCCAATGACAAGGAATCCATAAAACTTAGGGGAAGATGAGAAATCAGTTAAGCTATGGGAAATGAATATGGAAAAAAAATGTGTTTTTTTCGAGAGGTGAGGTAGAAATTAGAAAAGGATGAAAACCCATTGTTTGGGGATGGGAATGGAAAGCTGAAAAGGAAAACAAGAATTTCTCAGACTCAGACTTTCCTCTGATAATGGGAAGAAAGATTGTTTTTCAAAAACAATATAAAAAGCTTTACAAAAGTAAACTTTACAAAAGTAAAGTTTCCATCACAGCATAAGGGGTTAATGCTGGTAAAGTGAAAAAACTAGTGTATTGTTTACTTCCTCTGGGTTCAATGACTCAAGTCCTTAAGGCTGCATGCAGACCAGGGTCAGAGCAGATCACCTGAGTTGATGGGAGGGTTTCGGATAACATCAGCAATAATCTTCTGAACCTCTGGAGTCAGGCCTGCTTGTTCCATATCAAGCGGGCAGCCAGCTTTCACCGCTTGGGTTAAGTGCATCCCAACTGCTGTGAGAGGCATATTCCTGTCCTCCGCTATACTTATCTAGAGAAACAGGAGCAAAACCACCAGTGAGGTCTTAAAAGTTTGCACTGTACCATATGTAAATAAAATGTCCAAAACCTTCAGGTAGTCAATGTTCACTGAGAAACAAACAATGCACTGAACCTTCACTTAAAATTTTCATTTTTACTATTTCTTTAAAACTATCCACGTTATAGATCTCCACAGGTTCTACCTTTTATACTTCCTACCGTGAATAAAACAAAATCATCCAGCTTTAGCTAAGAACTAAATCCTCAACCCTCTGTAATTATGCACTTTAAAAACCTATTAGTGGCAGAGAGTAATCATTCTGTGTAAGTCTAGTAACTGCCACAGCCTTTTGAAAATACAGTAAATTGTAATCCAATATTCCATATAATTGAACTAACACATGGTACTTTAGTTATGTGAATTTCTAAGGAGACAAATCCTAAAATGCTTAGTGATAATGTAAGGCTCCAGATGCATTCTATAAAAGGTTCTTGAGAAAACCTTAGCAGGGTATTTTACATTGGCTCTATTCATAAAATAATAACCACAATTTAGCAAGGGCTGCCATCTCTTGCTTAGCATTAAACTTAACATGAATTGTTTTAAATTTAGGATAGTGTTACGTATTTATGCAGTTTTTTAAACAAATGTAGCTCCAAATCCATTTAAGATGTTTATTAGTTAAAACATTCTTTTAAACACTCAGAAAGTTTACTCAGCTCTAAATTATTTCATGATACTCTCTTTTAATTTATCTTGGAAGTCTGAATTTGGACTGTATTTATGTGAATGTTGTACTTTCACAGAACAGAGCATTTAAAACCAATATTTTCAGCCTTCAAAGGTAGGTTTTAAGTTACTTTCATTAATTGTCTACCCTTTTCCACTACAGAGTATGCACCATGTGTGCAAAATATCAGAGTTATTTGATACCAGGCATCAAATTACCTAGAGCTAATTGTATTATTGCTCCTGATTAATTAGTCCTTAGGCATGTTTAATTTTGTGGTTAACTGGCACAGACCCTCTCAGACCCTTGGGAGGAAAAGATAATTATACCATGATATTACACATTAATATACAAAAAAAAATAGCAAAAGATATCAATGAAAATATACCACTCTGCATTTTTAACCATGAATATATCATATAATACACGAAACCACATACCATGGCTGAGTATTAGAATGTACTTTACTCAGAAAATTTGGAGGCTATACCAAATTTTCTTAGTACTGTATTCAGTTATACCATGTATATATGGTCAAATTATGTAGTTATAAGCATAGTTAACACATACATGTAAGTTACTATTTAAATAAGAAACTGAACTTAAAATTTCTACTTATCATGTAATTCGCTTCAAAACTAGTACAATGGAATTGTTCAGTTTCTTCTGTAATGGCTTTTGTACTTTTAATTTCAGAAATTTGTTTAATTAGAACATTAAGTGGTGAAGACAAGCTATAAACTGGTTTTCTTATTTATACCGGATTTTAACCAGAATAAGAAGTATAATATAACCTAGTTGAACAGAGACACAGAGAACAGGAAAAGCAGGCACTGGACCATAGAGCCTTTTCCAAATCAATTTAATGACAGAGAGGATAGGAATTCAAATTAGTTAAACCTAGATGGAAGCCTAATTCTGTCCCTATTCCACTAAGATGTACTCTTCATTTTGTATATTAAAAAAACCTCAACAGCCTTAAGGACTGAGGCCAGAACAGTGAAGAAACATTAAGTGTGGCCATTTTTCACAGTAATTAAGATTTTTTTTCAAAGACCATCAGGCATGGTTTAAAAAATAGAATAATAATAAAAGCAAAAAAATAAAAAATAGAATAATAGTAGAGGATCTAGAGTGAAAAGCAAGCTGTTTTTTAAAAACTTATTTCCAGTTTCTTGGACATCCTTCCAGAGACAGTCTATGCATTTTTGTACACATACACAAAAATATGTTAATATATAAGCATGCATATAAACAAAAACACATTTATGTTTTTCATACTGCTCTCTGACTTCCTTTTCTTTACTTTAATGTACCTTGGAGATTATTTCTTATCAGTACATATGCTAATAGTTTTTAAACTATTAATCCCAGTTAAAAAAAGAAAAATAGAGTCTTAAAATACAGCTGCTCTAATATCCCTAGCTGTAAATATGTTCAACAGTACTCTGATACAACCTCTACAAAATAACCATGGTCAAAGTACACTTACTCTTTTTAATTAATTGACAAAGGCAGGCGTGGCAGAAAAAAAAAATGACGTTAGTCTAAGATTAAATATAAAATGAAACAACATAAAATACTGCAAGATTAGAAGAAATTTATCCCAAGTCACAACTTTACTATTTGAAAAGCTGATAAAACACATGTTTAGATAAATCTGAAAATCCCCTGTAACTTGGAAGTAAAACACTTACCAAAGACATCTTCTTTTCTTGGAATAAATAATATGTGATGGCCACAGACTGTGAAAGGCAGGATACTTCATTTTTTACCACCACACTGTTCCTTTGTTCTTCCTGAAGTATTGTCCTTGAAAAGAGGTCTGTCTACAAAATATTAAATGTAACACAAATGATCAACAATAATAGCAATATAATGATAGAAGTATCAGTATGATTGGTAGGCATGAGGGAAAAAAACACACAAATAAAACTTCTAAGGAACCGTCAAAAATTCCCTTTTTATGAGGAGCTGAAAAAGGTTTTGTTTTTGTTTTTGTTTTTACATATTGATCTAAAAAGGTAAAATAAGGCTGGAGGGAATAAGTTTTTAAATAAAATATTTGTAATAGTTATACATGGTTATAAAACTAGAAATCTCTAGTCTCACCTTTAGCCAATAAAGAGGGAATAAAAAATGAACTATAATGTTGACCACTCTGACTCTAAATTGAGTCCCTTAATCTCTGGAAGTGAATACTGAATGAATGAATAAACCGAATTAATACTCAAATTTAGATACCACAGTCACAAATTCTGCTAACATTTCATAAGTAAATATATCATCACTATATATGTATAGTTTAAAAAGATACATAAAAACTGTGGCTCTAAACTTGAAGCATTATGTAAATTCTTAAATATGGTTCCTTAGGAGACGTTTAAAAGAGAAAAGGTGGAGAAAGGATTGAAAAATGAGATTAATAAAGAAATACTGGAATTTTTTAAAAGCCTGAAATAAAGGTAAAGACCAAGTGAGAGTTATGACAGAATTATACGATGTATGATTCGCAAAGATGTATGAATAGTTTCCTCCATGCCAATTTACCTTTCAAAACATAAGCACCAATACTAAATTAAAAGAATTAAATCCAACAGAACTTGGCTTACTGTAACCCACAGCAATCCATTTCTACCCTAAATAAATAAGTGAGTCTGTAGATTAGCTCAGATACCTGGGACAATGCAGTTTGGTGAACGGAGAAACCAGACAATACCACAAGACCTGAAGTCATTGTTTCCAGGCACCTCTCGATTTTCAAGGAAGAATGATTTTATTAAATGAAGTGTTTCTATCTGAGACCTTAACACTGTCAAATCTGGCCCTAAATTCCTAGAAATGCTTAAAATCAGAATCCATTAGCCCGATTCCTCAGTCTGTCAGTATAGGCTATATAGCTGGAGGCAATAATGGACACCCCACTACCAAGGTCTTAGAAATGTGACCACTGTGAATTATACTGGCAGATCCATGAAGATTTTATTACTTATGGGACAAAATCATGATGTCATCTGTAAACGTGAGACTAAAGGGTTTAGGAACATCCGAAACACTAAGCAAAGTACCATGAGGGCAGTAATCTCAAGAAGGAAGGGCTAGAATGTGATTCCAATTAAGCAAAAGTCTAATCAAATCATGCTCTATGTAGATAAAAGACTATATGAACAGAGAGTGATCAATTACGGAAACATAAATAGGAAAGGCAGAAGGACCAAAGTAGGCAATATCTATGCAAGAACTGTTCAGATGAGAAGACGTCTTGGCTAACTAGATTTGAATATTACAGTTTCCCTGGCAAGTAATGTAGGACAATGCCTAATCTGCCAGCAAGGCAGATTGATATCAGATTGCCAACTGATAGCAAGGATAACTTTGCCTTGATGCTGACAGACTACTTCTGACACTATCAGAATTCCCCCTGTGATATTCCAGGCTTGCTAAGCAACTGTCAGATAAGCCGGCTTCCCATATACCTTCTTCTTCAATAGGAGAGAACACACTGGTTGGGTCAGGTGAAACTTCCCACTCACATTTCTCAATATAAATTAATGAATTTGCATTCCAAAGTAACCATTTATATTTCCATATGCACACATGAATACATAAAACCAAGGTCACAGAGAAGGATAATGCAAATCTACTCCCCAAAACACAACTAACTATTCTGTGACAAGACATATCAGATTTTTAAAGTGGGATCCAAATGTGCCTGTCCAAAGTTTACAGGAGATTCTGAGAAGTGAAAACAACCTCTTAATACTGCCTTCCATATTTTTAACTGTTCCAACTTTTTATACCCACCCCTTGTCTTTTATCTTTCTTTTTTAAAAAAGAATTATTTATTTGAGAGACAGAGTGTGTGTCAGCAGGGGAAGGGGCAAAAGGAAGGAAGAGAGAGAATCCCAAGCAGACACCCTGCTGAGTGCAGAACCCAACGCGGGGTTTGATCCCAGGATGCCAAGATCATGACCTGAGCCAAAATCAAGAGTCAAATGCTTAACTGACTCAGCCACCCAGGCATCCCTCTCTTTTGTCTTTCTAATTCATCCACTGTTTCCTTAATATGGGGAAGGAAAGTATCCTTTCCATTGTATAGGTGAGGAAAAGGAAACCCAAAGAAGTTAAAGAACACATTTAGAGTCAGGCTCCCTGCTCAGTGGGGAGTCTGCTTGTCCCTCTCCCTCTGTCCCTCTCCCCCCTCATTCTCTCTCTCTCTAATAAACAAAATCTTTAAAAAGAAAAGGGCGTTGCCTGGGTGGTTCAGTCAGTTAAGCATCTGCCTTCAGCTCAGGTCATGATCTCAGGGTCCTGCGGTTGAGCCCCACCCCCAGCTCCCTGCTCAGCAGGGAGTCTGCTTCTCCCTCTCTCTCTGTCCCTCCCCCCAGCCTCTCTCAAATAAATAAAATCTTTAAAACACACACACACAAACAAAAAAACATTTGGCTTCTCCAGGTAGACTATGGTGGAATTAAATTCCTGATTCCCTGATTCTGAGTCCAGTAGACTTTCTACCACCTCACAGTGCCTCACCTTCTATACTGGAGTACACAAAGTAATAGAGTCTGCATGTGGAGTTTAAAGAAAGAAACCGAAAGGATTCTTCTGGAAATGGCCATTTATAGTGGAGCAAGGAGTAATAAAAGGATGGGAAGAAAACGCTATTAAGACTAAAGAGAAGAACATGTATTCTACTTAATATCAAAAAACAGCACGACTGGAAGGAGAGGGTAATTAGGGAATAAAATAAATAATACAAAAAAGAAAGTGGCTGGGCTCCGTGCCAACTGATAGCAAGGATAACTTTGCAGCTCTAATTTCTATCTCCATTTGAAAGTAAAATAATCTATCAACCTAAAACATAGTACTTTTTCAAATTTAAAAGTAAAATCGCTCAACAGAAAGATACGAGCAGCCTGGACAACTACTTAAGTATCATCTGAAAAATTAGGTAACTAACATCTTTTTGTAGGTGATTTACTATAGGAGCAACCTGAATCGATCTTCTAAGTGTGCGGAGTGGAAATGAAAATACAGTTGACCCTTGAACAAAACAGTCTGAACTGGCCAGGTCCACTTATATGCAGATTTTTTTTCAATAACTACAGTACAATGCTATTAATGTATTTTCTCTTCCTTATGACTGTGATTTGCTTTGTTTCAAGTTTTTATTTAAATTCCAGTTAGTTAACATATAGTGTAATATTGGTTTCAGGGATAGAACTTAGTGATTCATCACTTACATACAACACCCAGTGCTCATCACAAAAGTGCCCTCCTTAATAGCCATGACCCATCTAGCCCATCCCCCCCCACCCACCTCCCCTTCATCAACCCCTTATGATTTTTTTTTTTTAAGATTTATTTATGGGGCGCCTGGGTGGCTCAGTTGGTTGGGCGACTGCCTTCGGCTCAGGTCATGATCCTGGAGTCCTGGGATCGAGTCCCACGTCGGGCTCCCTGCTCAGCGGGGAGTCTGCTTCTCTCTCTGACCCTCTTCCCTCTCGTGTTCTCTGTCTCTCATTCTCTCTCTCTCTCAAATAAATAAAATCTTTAAAAAAAAAAAGATTTATTTATTTATTTGAGAGAGAGAGTACGTATAAGAGGGGGAGAGGGGCAGAGGGAGAGGGAGAGAGAGATTCTCAAGCAGATTCCTGGCTGAGCATGGAGCCCAACTCAGAGCTTGATCTCATGACCCTGAGATCATGACTGGAGCTGAAATAAGAGTTGGACACTCAACCAACTGAGCCACCCTGGCATCCCTCCCTTATGATTTTCTTAACATCTTCTCTTCTCTAGCTTACTTTATTATAAGAATATAGTATACAGGGGCACCTGGATGGCTCAGTCAGTTAAGATCTGCCTTTGGCTCAGGTCATGATCTCAGGGTTCTGGGATGCAGCCCCACATCAGGCTCTCTGTTCAGTAAGCAGTCTGCTTCTCCCCCTCCCTTTGCCCCTCCCCCCGCCCCCGTTTGTGCTCTCTCTCTCTCTCTCTCAAGTAAATAAATAAAATCTTTAAAAAGAAAAGAATACAGTAAATAAAACATATAACATACAAAATATGTGTTAATCAACTGTATGTGTTCTCAGTAAGGCTTCCAGTCAACAGTAGGCTATTAGTAGTTAGGTTTTGGGGGAGTCAAAAGTTATACATGGATTTTTGACCATGTGGGGGTCAGCGCCCCTAACCTTTCACATTGTTCAAGGGTCAACTGTAAAGGGAGAAAATGTTGCTTTTGAAAGGTGTTTTGAAATCATCAGAAAATGTTTATTCTCTCACAGTTCCTGCAAACCACAGTATTTTACCTGAATGCTATTTATTTGACAGAAATGTTTGATGACTTCCAACAGACAGGTCAACATATTAGCTTTGCCTTCAGACACACCATCGATCCTTTTCACATTTTCAAATGTAGTAGGTCTGTCATTTAAAAAAATTAAAAAGTCAAGAAACCATTAAAACATTATCACTCCAGCAACATAGCTGATGTTTAGCTTCATATTAATACTCAATAAACATACACTTTTCCAACAACCAAAAACAATGTGTAATACAAGTAATAATGTCTCTCTTTGCTTTCTACCATTTAAAGATTTATTATTTCAGCAATTTATGAATAAAAACACCACCATCATTATCACCACAAAAACACAGTACTAACTGGTAAACAGGCCATTAGCATGAAGAAACAGGCTAATGTTCTACTCTATTACTGAACTTATCACTATTATTATTTTTATAGATACAAAAAAACTATGAGGTTCTGAGGACAACCAACAGGCTAAGAAACGCAAAAGAAAATCTAATTCATTACTTACAAAGTATTTACCTATAATAATAAACTTGCTAACTACTTTAGGCTTTTAACTCAGTATTTCTTATTGCGTCCAGTATCCAAGAGACTGTATGATGTCTACTTTCTAAAAATCTGCCAATCTAATTATTACTCCTTTTCCTTTAAATTCTCTTCACTAAATACTAAAATGTGGTTTTTGAATATTTACTTTTAATAATTATTTTAAAATATAAGCATTATATTATTAAAATTTCTACACTAAAGTAACATCTTTTGGATGAAATTTAATGACAAAAACAATTTTTTAAAAGAAAATATAAAAAATACAATTATCAAACAACTGCTCCTTTTTTTTAAAGACAGAAATTTTTTTTGAAAGATTTTATTTATTTATTTATTTTTATTTATCAGAGAGAGAGAGCACAAGCAGGGGGAGTGGCAGGCAAAGGGAGAAACAGGCTCCCCACTGAGCAAGGAGACCAATACAGGACTCATGGGATCATGACCTGAGCTGAAGGCAGATGCTTAACCCACTGAGCCACCCAGGCGTCCCTCAAACAACTGTTCTTTGGAAATAATTTCTTCTAAATATTTATTGACCACCTCATGCTTATTAGGCATTGTGCCAGTTGCTTTGGAAGACACAAAATGATGAGGAAAACAGTATCTTTATTCACAGAGTTTAAAATCTGGAATATATAACACATGTATACCAATAATAACAAAAAATAACTAAAGCATTATGTGAGAAGTGTCATAAAGCATCTTCTAACTTTACATTTTAAAGTCCTTTATGAATTCCAGAGAGAGGAATTACTTTGCTGCTAAGAGCACGAAAGACTTCATGGAGAAATTAATAAAGGCAGATCTTGAAGGATTTCCTAGCAGGAGTTTTGGGGAATCAAGGAAACTACAAGGTAGAAGCAACAGTGTAAATAAACACATGGAATTTGAAAGGGGGTCTTCAACAAATGGTCAGATAAACCACTCAAAATTCTGTGACATGGATGTAAAAGTATGTTTAAGTCCATAAATGGAGGGCCCTAAATTATAAGCTAAAGAAGTTAAGACAGTGGGGAACTAGTTAAGCAGAAGTACGACATGAGAAAGAAAGACTGATTTGGTCTCATGTATCAGATGAAAGAGAGATGGAGAGATGAAAGAAAGATTAACTAGTTAAGAGGCTTTGGCAATAGTCCAGGAGCAATGGTCTGAACTAACAGGGTGTCACAAAAAAGAGAGAGTACGGCATACACAGACACGTAAGAAACACTGAAATGAAAAGTCTCAAAACTATTTAAGTAAGAGTAAGACAGGGATCCATGTTAGAGGAGTGAAAATAACACCAGGGGGTTTAAACATGTGTCACTGAGAACATGAAGGTATGAATTGACAAAAATAAGAAATTCAGAAAGAAGAGTTTTGGTAGTTGCACTAAATGCATGCACGGAGGGTTTGTGGATAATGAGTTAGATTTTATATATACTGCATGTGGTGGCTGAAAATGCTTGGTTTCCATTCATGTGGAGATGCGGGACTGCAGCTCAATGGAGAGATGGTGGGCAGCAGCATGGGAGACTGAGGAGTCACCTCACAGACAGGGCACCTGGACCCCAAGTCGTACTGTCACTGAACAATCTACGTTACAACTATATTACGTTAGAAGAAAATAAGTTAGAACATATACAGACAGACAGCTTACCTCATTCTGGCCATATCCAACAGTATTTTATTTGTTGCCAGAAGAGCTGGAGGGACATCCATTTTATTGGCATGTTTCTGCCTGGTTTCAACCAATTTGCCATATAACACAGTCTGAACAAAGAACAAAGAAACAACTCAACGTTTGTTTGGTTTTTTTTTTAATGTACTTAGAAAAATCCAGTCCTTCATTTTTAGAGCTTCAGCTATTACATTTTCCCTTAGGATGAAAAATTAACTGTACCTCAGACTCATAGCTAAAGAACAATTTTTAAAATACTGGCAACAAAATTTTAAGCATGCATATAATCCTTTCAAATTCTGCCTTTTCACAAAAGCTGTACCTGAGTCTCCTGCTCTTGAGCTGAAATAACAGGTTCTGAGGACTTGTAAGATTTTCCTGGTGAATGCACCGTGATGCTAAAATATTTAAAAGAAAATAAATAATAAAGGTTTTTCTTTCTCCAAGTTCACTTTTTATATCACCCCCAAAATGAGAATATTGTTCCAAGTTACTAGTAACATTTACTCTTCATAATACCAGTAAAATAACTGTGATTTATAAGACAGCCTAGACTTTAAACAATTTCAATCAAATGCATTCATTATAATGGTAAAGTTAAAACTGTAATTTGAATTCATCAAAATTTAGTATACTTAAAAACAGCATTTGCCCCGTCCTTGTCCTCAACCAAATTCTCTGAAATACTCCTTATCTATAACTGAAGATAACTTTTTTTGACCAAGAGAGATACAATCTATGATTCTTTACTGTGACATCACTAATTTTTGGTTGGTGAGGAACATTAGCATGGGATTAATCAAACTGTTCACAATTTTCTTCAAAATCAAACAAAAATAAGCCAAAGGGAATAATTTCTCTTTTGACTCCACAAAAGAAAGATTAAAAAACATGCAATTAGCAAACAACATGGAAGGTGCTAGGCAGCAAACTAGACAGAAAACCAATTTCTACAACAAGCATTTCTCATTGATAAATTAATTATAAAGATGAAAAGATATAAAAATGAAATTGTATGGAGTGGCCTATATAAGAGATGCCAAATTTAAATAAAGCCCTCTGTTGGTAAGAAAAGGGGGGAACATGTTTGATAGTTAAGAAATGTTTATAAATTTCTCTGCTGCAAGAATTCAAAATCTATAGTGTAAAGGAGGATTTTCACAATTATCAAATCCTATCACTAAAATAAGGAGATTTAAACCTGAGAAAAAATAACTCCAGTTCAAAGAATTAGTAATATCAGGTTACTCAAGATCATTATAAATTTGTTTTAAAATATCTTAGTATTTATAAAAGTCTTTATACTAATGTACTGCTTGCAGAATGGTATTTTAAGTTATTTCACAAATAAATTTTATTATCATATATACTGGTAAAATATGGGTAATATAGCCCTGAAGCAGAAATATACATGGAAAACATTTAATAATAAATGTTTTACCAATGAATGCTATTATAAGTGCACAGAAGAAAAGTCCAAAATAACTATAATGAATATCATCAAAAAGTGGAGATGTTGGGGGCGCCTGAGTGACGCAGTCGGTTAAATGTCCACTCTTGGTTTTGGCTCAGGTTGTGATCTCAGGGTCGTGGGATCAAGCCCTGCATCGGGCTCTGCACTCTGCTAGAGTTTCTCTCTCCCTCTCCCTCTGCCCCTCCCTGCCTCATGCTCTCTCTCTAATAAATAAATAAATCTTTTGAAAAAAAAAAGTGGAGATGTTCTACACATGAAACAAGATCGCTATGTTAAAGAAAGAAGAAACGGAACAAGAAATAGTTGTTAGAAATTAAGATTTCAATAACTAAAATTAAAATCTTACTAGATGGAAGGGAATATAAAGCCAAGGAATCCAAGAGAGTAAACAAACAAAAAGAAATTGAAAACAAGAGAAAAGAAAAATGAGTAATAGGAATGCTAAAAACCAAGCTAAGAAAACAAAAAAGACAATTACTAACATCAAGGAAAATTAAAGTAGTGGTGGCCATAGCCACAGTTTGGCTTAGTAGTATACAATATTTGTGTTAAGTATAATAACGTAAAAACAAATTGTTAATATGACCAAAACTTGAAATATAATTCTGTTTTGGTCAAGGGGGGCAACTGAAGGAAGGGAAATGGGGGAAGGGCAGATGGGAGATAAGCCCTAATCTACCATTATAGGTCAACAAAGAAACTTCTAAAACTGATAGGTCCAAAAATAGTAATCTAAGCATGTCACTTAGAAATATGGAGGCAGGGGCACCTGGGTGGCTCAGTTTGTTAAGCGTCTGACTCTTGATTTTGGCTCAGGTCATGATCTCAAGGTCATGAGATCGAGGCCCAGGACAGGCTCCGTGCTCAGCGGGAAGTCTGCTTGAGATTCTCTCTCTCCCCCTCCTTCTGCCCCTCCCCTCCTTAAAAAAATGGAGGCAAATATCAGTGAGCCCAGCTGATAAAGATTTGAGGATGACCACTTCTACAGAACAGAGCAAAGTGGGTTTGGGAAGGTTGTGAACCGGCTTGTTTTGTTATATGCCATTAAGTACCAATTGACTTTTAAAACCATGTACGTGAATTATTTTAATGAAAATTCAAATGAACTTCAAAATAAGAGTTACTGATGTGTAAGCATCTTTCTCACTCCTATACACTAAGCCCATATATTAAAAGTAATTTCTGGGTGACTCCACAGGTATGTCAAACCCTAGGTATGTCTATCACTAAACTCCTCATCCCCTAAATATCCAACCTCTCAAACCTGTGTTCCTCTTAAGCTGCCAGTGAAGGGAACCTGTGATCAGACACAAACCTAAGTGTCATGTTCAAGTTCTCCACTTTCCTTAGCCCACCTGTCTTTTCAATCACTGAGTCCTAACAATTCTAGCTTCTAAATATCTTACAGTTCTGTTTCCTTCCATGCCCACTGCCACTTCCCTCGTCTAAGTTCCCACCTTCTCTTGTGAATGCTACTACAATAGCCTTATTTGTGTCTCTACACTCTGATCCTCCTCCCTTCCATTCCCTCCACAGCCAGAGTCACCGATCAAGGGTTGGCACAGTAGGGTGCACAGGACAAACCTGTCTGTTCTGGTAAGGCTTGTAAGCTAAGGATGGTTTCTTACATTTTTAGACAGTTAAAAAAAATTAAAAGAACATTTTGTGACATGTGAAAATTATATGAAATTCAAATTTCAGGGTCCATAAATGAAGTTTTATTGGAACACAGCCACACTCATTTCTTTACATATCAACTATGGCTGCTTTAAGGCTACAAGAGCAAAGTTAGACAGGACCACATAGCCTTCAGAGCCTAAATTATTTACTATCTGATCCTTGATGGAAATGTCAACCTCTGTTCTCAATCATAAATTTGATGTCACTGTCCTGCTGAAAATCCTTCCTTAGCTCCCAACTCAAATGCCTTTATGATCAAGTTGAGGGCTTGACAGGAACTGGATATTCTGGACCCTATTTAATTCTCAGTCTTAAATTTTCACCATCCCCCCTGCTTCCCTCTACCAGGTAATTGCTAGGACTGTTGAGTTCCTTGATCATATCACACCCTCTCTTGCTTTCAGGTTTTAATATGTAGGCCATTCCTCTGCTCAGAGAACTTCCCTCACGTCACTGAACTTCTACCTAAGCCTCAAGTGTCATTTCCAAAGTGTGTTTCCAAAGTGCTACAACCCTGGATTGTAATTTTATGTTCCCCTACCTGTATATCCCACTAGAGTATAAACCCTGGGAGGGCCAGTGACTATATCTCTATTTTTCCCCACCAAATCCCAATGCCTAGAGTAATACCTGGCACAAAGATGTTCAGCAAAAACACAATAAATGTTTAAATGAAGAAATGCTGCAGCATACTGAACGGATATCTTGTTTTATATACTCCTTAACCCTTTTGTTTATACACTGTAATTAATTACCCCATATCCAAACAAAAAGAAATTGTTTTGAGTGAGAGACTATTATGGTAAATGTTTCTGTCAGATCCAAAATAGTATTATCTAAGTGAGAAATCCACTAGAAAGTAACAGTATCAGAGCCCCACATTAACTTACATTCACCTGATATGTATATAAACAAAGTCCGTTCAATAATCTGTATATACATCCTGACAAGTTTTTCAAATTCTCCACCTTTGACCTTCTGTAATTCTGTACATTCTCCACACTTTCATTAAGTCTGCAAGTCAAATATTAAGCTCCAAAGTACAATAGGTACCTTTGCTATTTCTACCAACTCTAATATCTACCATTTTATGCTGCCATAAAATATATTTTATATGGCCTTGGAATATATATTTTATATATATGTAATGAGTGTTTAGATGTTAGAGGTTGATGAATATAGATTTGAAAGTCAGCTCTGCCATATGTTAGTTAACTTCTTAACTTCAACTTGAAAATGGGAATAAATAATAGTAGCTAACTCATAGATTGCTGTAACAATTAAATGAGATATTACAAATGAAATACTTAGCATTCAGCATACGGCTTGGCAAACAATAATACCCGAGAAGTATTAGCTATTAAATTAACATTAATACTATCATTTTATAGGTCTTCTTTAATAATTATAATACTGGAGGCTTATGCTTTAACTTTAACTTCCTTCTGCCAATGAAATAGCCCAACATCTGATAGACCTTTCTCTTTAGGAAAGAAAGAAAAAAGGTGTTGATACAGTAAACACAGAAAATAAACATTTTGAACTCTGTACCTTTCTTTAGGAATGTTTCTCCCAGAAGAAATTTTATCAGATCCTTTATAAGAATACATCTTCTCCAAGTTAGGCTGCTTTTAAACATATAAAGGTCCATTATAAAAAATCAGAAGTTTCAAAAACTTTCAAATACAAAAAAAAAAAAATAAGATACAAAAATCTCACAATGACAATTTTTCCTCTGATTAACCAAGTCATCAAATAAAAGTCATCACCTGAAAATAGCTCTTGGATTATCAACTTCTAGGATTCTAAAGGCAGTTAGAAATGTCATGTCCTATTTCTCCCAAATCTATAGAGAATATCTGATCAAAATAATTATTTGAGGCACAGCAGATGCCAAAGGTATAAAGTGATTCAGTTAAATTCTGCATACTTTAATAAAACAGAAAAACTTTACCAAAAAATTTAATTCAGCACATTTTCCTATTACTCCAGTGTTCCAATTAGCTGAAGTCTGCCTGTGGGTCTTTAATCTGTAATTGTTATCTAAGATCCAAAAACAAAGCAAGAAGGTATGTGTACATGTGTGTGTGAGTGTGTGTATAGCTTTAATGAGAACATTTAGGAATCATGCTTATTTTTTCTATCAATTATGTGTATCATAATGTATAAAAAAAACTCCAGGCCAAATGAGTTATAAAACAGGCTTTAAAAAAATTAAAATAAGTTACTTTCTCAAATATTTTTAACTGTCCTATTAGCCCCAGAAATCACATACTGCATATTTTATTCTGTTCACATCACTACTCTTTCCAAAGTTTATATTTTGTTACACATGACATTTCATTCAATAAAAAAAGGAAATCAATAAGAACCACCTCTTTAACAAACCAACCTTCATCTCCGTGGTTAATTCAGTTGGTACTTGATTAGAGGAATGCTGTTCAATGCCAGGTGGTACAGTTTTAGAACTAAAAAATAATAAAATTAAATTATCTCAAATGCTAAAATGTAATTATCTAATTATCTAATATAACGCATCCACTCTCAGAAACACAGATGAGATTCTATTACTGTTTTAAAACTGAGATTTATTTATTTATTTATTTTTAAAGATTTTATTTATTTGACATTGAGAGAGACAGTGAGAGAGGGAACACAAGCAAAGGGAGTGGCAGGCAGAGGGAGAAGCAGGCTCCCCACTGAGCAGGGAGCCAGATGTGGGACTCAATCTCAGGACCCTGGGATCATTACCTGAGCTGAAGGCAGACGTTTGACTGACACCTCAGGCACCCCAAAACTGAGATTTTTTTAAATTAAATTTTTTTTTTTAGAAAAGCTCTGGAAAGTGCTTTATTTAAACTCTTTAAAGTTTAAAGCTTGGGGCACCTGGGTGGCTCAGTCGTTTAAGCATCTGCCTTTCGGTCAGGTCATGATCCCAGAGTCCTGGGATCGAGCCCCACATCGGGCTCCCTGCTCAGCGCGAGGCCTGCTTCTCCCTCTCCCACTCCCCCTGCTTGTGTTCCCTCTCTTGCTGCCTCTTTCCCTGTCAAATAAATAAATAAAATCTTTAAATAAATAAATAAAATGTAAAAAAATAAAGTTTAAAGATCTTTAGAGTTTTTTAAGTTTAAAAGAAAAATTGATAACCTAATGCACAATATAGGGATTACTGTCAACAATACTGTATTATAAACTTCAAGGTTGTGAAGAGACTAGGTTGTTCTCAACACAGAAATGATAATTTTGTGACATGATAAAGGTATTAGCTAAGCCACTGTAGTAATCATATTACAATACATAAATCTATCACACCAATATGTTGTACACTTCAAACTTACACATGTTATATGTCAATTATATCTCAATTTTTTAAAAAAGGGAAAAAAAACATAAATGATCGATAACAGGTAAGGTATGAAAAAGAAGGCAACAAGTGTATTCCCTTCCCACCTTCTACACATAAGAAGGAAATATGATATATGGATTCTTCAACATTGATCTCAGTGCTGCTTCTTTAATCAATGGGAAAGTAGCTTTCTAAATACTATACTGAACTACTTCCTATCAATCAAGAAAATGTTCTATGATTTTTCTTTCACCCACTAATTCCCATCTTCAAATTAGCTAAAAGAGGTATGCAAAGCAATCTTTACTCATTTTATCTTTGTGGTGCCTGTGAATTGGTATAATTTGACATTTCAACAACAAAAAACCAGAAGTTAAAAAAAAAAAAAACAACTGGAAAATGAACCTTGGTAGAAGAAACACCCTCGGACACAATTCATTAGTTTGAAGGATAAGTTTCTTAGGAAACTCTGTACTGGTTTCATGAAGCCAACATCTGCCCTATTGAACACAAGAAGAATCTTTTAATGCATAGTGAGAAAAATTAAATCAAACAGGTAGGCGTCTACATTGCTTACCTTTTCTGTAAGAGTGCAAATCCTTAGAAATTTGTGTTTCCCAGGAACAGGAACTTCTACCAAGAATCCCTCAGCCATGAGCTGATGGGACAAAGCTTTCCACCAACTCTCCGTTTGATCCTTGCCACTGCCAAATAAACTGTGTCTGCGATACTGATCGGCAAGTCGCTGGGAATTCTGAAATTAGGAAGAAAATCTTTTTTTAGTTAAACAGGATAAGTAAAATAGAACTGTCTGTTCATTTTTTGGATTTAACACTAAATTTCAGCTTTAAATACCTACAAAACTTATGCCCATCCTGCTTGTTCTGAGTACTTAAGTCATATAAATAAATATATAACCAAAATAGTGTTCCTTTCCTGTGTGAAATAATGGCAGGTAATTTCACATATAATCCACATGCATTTTCCAATGCCTAACGTTGGATAAGTTTGGAATAGTTAACCTAGGCTATTTAGACCTTTTATTAACATACATTACTGTCTGAAAACAGTAATCATAAGCTGCAGCTCAAGACGAAAAGCATGAGTGTTAAAAGGCAGTGTGACCCAACAGCTAGTCATCAGCAAGTGCACTACAACAACTCAGTCCCGGCTGCACGCTGCGTTCACTGCGCTTTTGTCCACGAGGTACTGCAAAGTTTACTTAACCATTTCTGATTTAGCTGCTTTACGGAGATATTCCAGGAAAAGCAAGTGTACGCTATACAGATGCAGTTTTTGAGATTTTTTTTTTTTTCCTAAGTGAAGGGAGGATTCCAGTGGGAGACTCTGCACAGGCCATCACATTCTGGCAATGTTGGGGGAGCTAGTCTGTCACGTGCAACTCTCTTGTCCTCTGATAGAGAGGACTCCCCTGACCTTCACTCTCGTAAAGTACTTTTCCATTCACTGTGCCCTCTAACCACCTCCTTCACTTACCCTACACATTTAAGTACTACCTTTAAATGTCTATAGTATTCTATGAACATAAGGCTTTACGGAAAGTTGCTCCTAATGTATTTGTGGTGAATAAGCAGATGGTCATTCAAGGGTCATGCTAACCTTCCCCCACTGTAACTTCTTTTACTGTAGAATCTGCGAAGTTACAAATACTGTTTCCCAAAATCCCTTTCAGCTCAGGTTCTGGGTATGATTTAAGAGGCATTTTTACATGACATCTCTAAGCAGGAAACGAGGTAAGACTACTCTGTAGCTATTCTTGCAGGTTTGCAATGATTGTGGAGGTGTCTGCTTCTTATGAGAAAGTGTTAGCCAAGAACCCAGCATACAACTACTAGCTTCCTAAGTATCAGAAGGCATCCACTTTTTGGATACAGATTATAGCAAGTGCAGGGTGGTTACCAGAGCAAGCAGAAGGGGAGCCTCCCTGCTTGTTACAGCTCCCTGTTCAGTGCACTGTGGGGTCGGGTGCTGTAGCAGCAGCTTCCCAAACTGACAGATAGCTTCTTGTCACAGAAGAGGCAGCAGGTCTCATGACTGACTATTTTACAGTACAATCTGTAAGTTTTTTAATGCCCAGTAATAAATGGTTTTCTGTTTAAACTGTCTGGAGTGATTATGAGCAAATATAAATTCTGTATTTTAGGTTACACTTGTATTTCAAAAACATTCATCCCTTGAATATGTCAAGAGGTTATTGTATTCTAAAACTTTAAATATAAAATGCAATCTAAAATTTTTGAAACAGCCACAGCCCGTCAGTCAACATTTTTACATTTCACCTATATTCCATGAAGGTTTAATAATCAATGCATATAATATATATACAATGGAATATTATGCAGCCATCAAAAGGAATAAAATCTTGCCATTTGCAACGACGTGGATGGAACTGGAGAGTGTTATGCTGAGCAAAATAAGTCAATTAGAGAAAGACATGTATCATATGACCTCACAGATATGAGGAATTCTTAATCTCAGGAAACAAACTGAGGGTTGCTGGAGTGGTGGGGGGTGGGGGGGAGTGGGTGGCTGGGTGATAGACATTGGGGAGGGTATGTGCTATGGTGAGCACTGTGAATTGTGCCAGACTGTTGAATCACAGACCTGTACCTCTGAAACAAATAATACATTATATGTTAAAAAAAAGAAAAAGAAGAAAAAGAAGAAGATATCAGGAGGGGAGGATGAAGGGGGGGAAATCAAGGGGGAGATGAACCATGAGAGACTACGGACTCTGAGAAACAAACTGAGGGTTCTAGAGGGGAGGGGGGTGGGAGGATGGGTTAGCCTGGTGATGGGTATTAAAGAGGGCACGTATTGAATGGAGCACTGGGTGTTATACGCAAATAATGAATCATGGAACACTACATCAAAAACTAATGATGTAATGTATGGTGATTAACCAACATAATAAAAAAAAATAATCAATGCATATAAAAATCCAGGGATCAAAATCAAAACAATTCATAGGATGAGTTCCAGCAGACATAACTCAACAGACATAACTCAAGCACTAGAGGGTTCTCTATTACGAATGTACTTATCATTTTGGAACGTTGAAACGTGAATAAAAGTGAAAGAGCCTTGAGATGTCTGGGTGGCTCAGTCAGTTAAGTGTCTGTCTTTGGCTCAGGTCATGATCCCAGGGTCCTGGGATTGAGGCCTGCTTCGGGCTCCCTGCTCAGTGGGGAGACTGCTTTCCCTCTCCCACTCCCCCTACTTGTGCTTGCCCTCTTTCTCTCTTTTCTTTCTGTCAAATAAATAAATAAAATCCTAAAACAAACAAAAAAAAGTGAAAGAGCCTAAATAAAGCCGATCCCTCACACAAAGGAAAACTATGCTGCCTTTAGATTAAAGTGGCACAAATTCCCAGCAGAGATACTTCAGTGCCTAGAAACTGAGTTTAACATATAGGCTTCTGATAGGTTAGTTAACAGTCTATAACATGCATTCTATTTATCTTAAAAATAAAAATAGAAATAGAATTATTTTTATTAAAATGGCTAAGTAATGAGCTTTAGTATCATGGTGATTATATTTACCAAAATTTTATTAGAACAAGATTTAGAGAAATAGAAACACCCAGGTACAACACGGTACCTTTTTCCTTGTTAACAATCCCTACCTAGCCAACTGACTTTGGGTTGACTTGAAAAGAATGCTTAAAATCAAACACCAGAGAATTTTAGAGCTAGAAGAACACTGGAGCTCTTTGATCTACACGGTTATTTTTTACTCATATTGCTAACAAATAATCAGAGGCTCAAAGATGTTAAGTGGTAGCTTAAGATCCTAGAGCTAGGAGTAGAACACAGGCCTCCAGAGTATTAGTTCTAATCTTTTAATACTATATCATGCAAATACATACACAAATATACATATGCAACACATACATATACAACATAGATACTACATATACATATCCCACATATACATATACATATATATACACACACATACACATTGTTTGTAGTTAGTACAGTAAGACTACCTGGATTCAAGTCACAGCTCTGGTACTTACTACCTTTTTGACTGGGCAAGTTACTTAACTTACCTGAGCTTCTATTTCCTCAGCTGTTACACAAGTATTAACAATAGTTTCTATCTCTTGGGGATGTTGTAAAGATTGAGTAACTAAGACAGAGCCTGGCTCAGTAACACTAACTTTCTTTTTATTAGTTAACAGTTGATCCTTTAACTCAACCTAAATTCCCTAATCTAAAAGAAAAACCATTACAGGGGCACCTAGGTGGCTCAGTCGGTTAAGTGTTGACTCTTGATTTCTGCCCAGGTCATGAACTCAGGGTCATGAGATTGAGCCTTGGCGGTGGGTATAGAGCCTACTTAAGATTCTCTCTCTCTCTCTCTCTCTCTCCCCCCCTGCCCCTCCCTCCCACATAAGCACATGCACGTGTGCACTCTCTTTCTAATAAATAAATAAATCTTTAAAAAAATAAAAGAAAAACCACTACTTAGTATCTAGTCAGATTTCCCTGTAACACTGGTAATGGTACCTTACATCTACTGGGGGCTTACCCTTGTAGTAGGAGATTCTATTGCTTGCAAACTAGTAACACCAAAGGTATTGAATTGCCAAACTGGTACTTATTAGCAATCTCAACACTAAAATTATTCTTCTAGCCTTTCATTTCATAAGAAAAAAACAAACAACCCCCACAAAACCTGAAGTGAATGAATGCATTTACTAGTATGAAGAAATGAGATTTTTTTCTAATCAGCAGGGAGTAATTGTCCTTCCCCTCATGATCAATAATTGCAAATACTGTATACTGTGTGAATAAATTTACACTGTCTTGTTTCCATGGCAATCACCATGCCCAGAAAGCTGCTGTAGAGAATACAGGGATTTGGGCATTGATTTTAAGGAAGGCACATGTTACAGACCCACTCCTTACAATCTCATTCATTCTAGTATCTCCAGATCATTCAATCTAAAAATAAAAATGTAAAACTGCACGTGAACAGCATAATGAAAACAAAGGGCATTAGACCAGTAGTCAGGAAAGCTGCTTGCTTATCCTGATTCTGGCACAAAGTAGTATGACCTAGGCAGGTCCTCCAACTTTCAGGGATTCAGTATCAACCACTGTCGAATAAAGTGATAGAGATAAATAGTCTTTTTGCTCCAGGAGTCTATACCTCCATGGGACACACTCAAAAAGGGAAATTATCTCATTCTTTTCTTTTAAAAGTCAGGTTGGGAAAATAAGGAGCACCAAACTGGCATATCAAGGAATATGGAAACCTACTAACTGATGGATAAGTGCTAGAATAAAGAGAGCAGACTGGCTAGAACCCACGACCCAAAGTATCACTTTCTGATAAAAGCAAAATCTCTGAACCTCTATCTAATAGAGAAAACAAATAAATCTGCCACTTGTCTGAAGTAACTTCTCTAAAAATCACAATTGTTTTGTGTGGTAATTCTTTCTGCTAGGAATGTAACACTCCCCTCTACCTTTCTTCCCTCATTCCATCTCTGAATACCTACTACTGTGTCTCCCACAAAAAAGAAAGCTCCAGTGATACTGATAGAATCACAAAGACTTCTCTAATTTCCTGGCTATTAACAAGTACTCTCTCCAGAACTTATATTTATTCCTATGTACTTTACCTCTTTCAATGCTACACTATACTATTTCTTCCCAAGTAACACCTTCCATACTAGAGGGTGAGTTTCATCTAAGTCAGGCTTTGGATTCCCCACAAAACATAGTGCCTTACACAGACACAGACACACACACACACACACACACACACAAGATGTTTAATAACTAGTGGAAAAAATTGGTATGAGCTCTCTCAAGTTTTATTTTTCAAATTTTATTTATTTATTTGACAGACAGACATACATAGTGAGAGAGGGAACACAAGCAGGGCGAGTGGGAGAGGGAGAAGCAGGCTTCCCGCTGACCAGGGAGCCCGACGTGGGGCTCGATCCCAGGACCCTGGGATCATGACCTGAGCCGAAAGCAGACGCTTAACGACTGAGCCACCCAGGCGTCCCAACTCTCAAGTTTTAAATATCTATGTTCTTAAAGTGTGAAACAAGCCCACAGTTTCTGTTTACATTTTAACTTCTTTTCTTTTGCCTCTTTCCTACAAGCCAAAGAAGCTCAGAGCTACCCCTTCAGGGCTTAACAAAGTCACTTCTGGGGCTTTATTCTAAGTGCAAAATAAAATCAAAAGATAAAAAAAATAATTATCTCTTTGAATATATTTCAATCAGACAAAATAGCTTATCCAGAAAATTAAAGGGATAACCCTCTCCTGTTCAATACCTGGAAAATTATAAAGGGTGATTAAAACCACCAGTAGTTTTCTAGTCTGCCCATAGTCAAAGCATCTTTTATCAAAAGTATTACCTAATTCTGGAGCCATGACAAGACTTAACACTTTGATAATATGATCAGGAATGAGGTTTCCCTTAACGTCCTGGTTATGCAAATTAAGTACCATGTTTCTGTTTTCTAATCCAGAAAATGATAATTGCATACCTTACCACTCATTCATACAGGGTGTTTAAAAATATTTATGTGGTGAACTACTTAGACAGCTAAACCAAAGTTTCTTAGGCAACATTTCTATTTAATTTCTAACTAAACTTATGCTATTTAAAAACAAAATTTTAAACTCCATTCACAAATACCTGGATGGGCCGCATAACTATTTATACTATTAGAAAAATCTTGTGTAAGAAAGGAGAATCACATGCTGCTTAAATTATATTTCTTATATATATGTACAAATATTATCTCTTTAAAACTGTTTTCAGTTTAATATATTTATCATCTTACAGATCAAAATTATCTACAAAGATATCAATTTTCCCTAAATTAGTTAAGGTGGACGATTTACTAAATTCCTAAAGGAATCACAATTATAATTTTTAAAACAATATCCCAATAGATACCAAGATCACTGAAATGGAAGGGAAAAGAAATTACCTTATTTTCCCTGTAGTTAATGCCTACAAATTTCTGTTAAGTGGTACTTTTTGAAAAGTTTTACACCCTTATCTAGCAAGGGTAGTATAAAATTTCACAAAGAATAAACTTCTTAATTTGAAGACTCCCAGAAGAGACTGTCAGTATAAGCGGTCTGACTTGGTTTTCAAATAATAGGTGAAATCTGATCCCTCTTGTGGCCAGTTCAAGTTGTGTAGGAGCCCACTTACACTTATTTGTTGATACTGGATACTGCTGGCTTATACCAAATTAAAACAAGGATAATTTTTATAAATTACACATTCAATTGGGATACACAGGTTTTGAAGATGACAGAGACAGAAGAAATTTTCATAGCTCTCGATTAAACTTAAATCCATCCCTTAAAAAAGATACTAGCAAAAAAAAAAAAAAAGATAGCAGCACTCAGCAGCTAAAACCAAGTTCCTTAACTTGGAACACTATTTAAACAATTACTTAATAGTGGCAACCCTATTAAATTTCTAATCAAACTGGTGATTTAAAAACAAAATTATAGCGGGGCTGGGGGAAAAAAACCCAAAAAATAAAAATACACACTATTTTAAACTCCATTCAGAATCTAAAAACATCACTACCTGAAAAGTTAACATGTTTTCAATACTTCATTAAAAATATTTCACAAGTAACTTAACATGTCCCTTTCTTTTTTTTTTCTTTTTTTTAAAGATTTTATTTATTTGACAGAGAGAGACATAGCGAGAGCAGGAACACAAGCAGGGGAGTGGGAGAGGGAGAAGCAGGCTTCCCGCTGAGCAGGGAGCCCGATGTGGGACTCAATCCCAGGACCCTGGGATCATGACCTGAGCCGAAGGCAGACGCTTAATGACTGAGCCACCCAGGTGCCCAACATGTCCCTTTCTAAACAAGATAAAAACTCAGAAAATATTTACATGAAGCATTCAAGTATTTAACAAATAAATGCTTACCAAATTATTTTTTAAATTCTACATATAAAGTGAGAATATTAATCTCTACTTTTAAGTATATTTTTAATAAATATACATATTTGTGAAGGATTCTACCTCCCACTTTGGTTTATTCAACTAATAGCAATGCATAATACTTGGCTCTCCTTTACAGACTTCTAAACCAGGAATAAAATCATATGAATAAAAGGACTATAGACTGTAAGGGTCATGACTTACTCAAAGTGTACTTGCAAATGTTAGCATAATTCTGGAATGCTAATCACTAAAATAAAAAAAAAGTAGCTGAATTGGCTATCACTATTTATTCAATGGTAAAGCCAAAAACAAAACAAAAACCTTGGAATTTTAAATACGATAAGATAAACAGAAAAGAAGTATAGAAAACTATACTGCCAAATATTGTTACTGAACTTAGACATTTACAAATAATCACTGAATTAAAGTTTTGCTCAAAGAATTTACTACTTTCCAGGGCACCAAAAGAGACAATTTTGTTCTACCTATCTCCTGATACAATGAAAGCTAACTTTTCTTCATTATCCTAAGAAAGACCAGTTTAGGGATTTATCCAACTGTAACCTAATAAGCTAATACAATGCTTCTAGAATGAGGTGCAGAGCTGAACATCAACTTGAAATATGAAAACAGCAGTATATGTGGTAACATGTAGGTTTTGTCAAAAGTAACGAATGCAGTGCAATTTAATTGGAACTTAATATGGCTCTCTGACTTACCAATAACGCATCTAAAGCCAAAGCTGTAATACTAAGACAACAAACTTATGAAGAAAAGTGTAACAGGAGTGCAAGAAGAACTATGAAGGTGATTCACAGGTATACTTACAGATCCTTGGAGAAATAAAATCGGAAGCCCAATTCCAAACCTTTCTCCTAAGATTTTCACAGCAGATAATAGCTTGAAGGCTTGTGGACCAAAGTCCTGTGATGTATCATCTGAGTCATCAATGGAAGAGCAAGTATCCAATCTAAGTAATAACATGATAGAAAGCTTAGCTTAGGCATATACCTTTAGAAATAAAAAGACTTCGTGTAATAATTAACCAAGTTAAAAAAAAAAATCTCAAATATGCCAACTGCTTCATAAGCTAACAAAGTTCATTACAGCCAAGACCATGTGAAGTACGTAAAACATGAAATATAAACCATAATATAGCTTTGTATGTTATGTTGACGGTTCTCAACCCTAGTACCCTGGAACCCAAATTTCACGGGAGGTACCTCGGACCATAAACAGAAGAGTAGGGAGATTTGAGCAAGCAGAATGCAAAAGTATACCTTGAAAAGCTCCACTCGACTGATTATATAAATACTGGATTTTTGGGTTAGGTTGTAATGGGAGAAAAAGGTGGTTGCAAAAAAAAGTAACTTAAAAACCAAATCTCCTATGCAATAAATTATTAGCTTAAACTCTGATGACTGTAAAATATGACACAAAGATAAACTGCACCTCATTTAAGTCCACTTGGAAGTTACATTCCTAAGCCTTCCTTCAGGTAGATTTGGAATTATCATTAATACAAATGAGAATTCTTTAAAGCTGGTTGAGAACAAAAGGACTCCTTAGAGAAAATCAACTAGTACATTTCAACTACCTAATTCCATTACTTTCTTTATAACAAATAGCTTTGAAATAGCAGTAAGAATACAGTCAATATTCCAGATATAACACGTTTGGGGGGGAAAGATTACATTTAGGTTTATCCTCCTATTCTAACTTCTTTATAGGATACTTAGCTCGTTAATTTTCTTTTCTAGTATGAATATTTAAAGCTATCAGATTCTCACAAAGTACAACCTCTGCTGTATCTCCCAAGTTTTAATGTATATTATTGTAATCATCACTAAAGTTCTAAAAATGTTTTAATTTCCAGTCTGATTCTCTTTGATTTATGAGTAATTGAAAGAAGACATCCAAATGGCCAACAGACACATGGAAAAGTGCTCAACATCGCTCGGCATCAGGGAAATCCAAATCAAAACCTCAGTGAGATACCACCTCACACCAGTCAGAATGGCTAAAATGAACAAGTCAGGAAATGACGGATGTTGGCGGGGATGCAGAGAAAGGGGAACCCTCCTACACTGTTGGTGGGAATGCAAGCTGGTGCAACCACTCTGGAAAACAGTATGGAGGTTCCTCAAACAGTTGAAAATAGAGCTACCATACGATCCAGCAATTGCACTACTGGGTATTTACCCCAAAGATACAAATGTAGGGATATGAAGGGGTATGTGCACCCCGATGTTTATAGCAGCAATGTCCACAATAGTCAAACTGTGGAAAGAGCCAAGATGTCCATCGACAGATGAATGGATAAAGAAGATGTGGTATATATACACAATGGAATATTATGCAGCCATCAAAAGGAATGAGATCTTGCCATTTGCAACGACGTGGATGGAACTGGAGGGTGTTATGCTGAGTGAAATAAGTCAATCAGAGAAAGACGTGTATCCTATGACCTCACTGATATGAGGAATTCTTAATCTCAGGAAACAAACTGAGGGTTGCTGGAGTGGTGGGGGGTGGGAGGGAGGGGGTGGCTGGGTGATAGACATTGGGGAGGGTATGTGCTATGGTGAGCACTGTGAATTGTGTAAGACTGTTGAATCACAGACCTGTACCTCTGAAACAAATAATATATGTTTAAAAAAAAAAAAGATAGTATGAAAGAATGAAGGGGGGGAATCGTAGAGGGAGACAAACCATGAGAGACTATGGACTCTGAAAAACAAACTGAGGGTTCTAGAGGGGAGGGGGGTGGGGGGGATGGGTTAGCCTGGTGATGGGTATTAAAGAGGGCATGTACGGAATGGAGCACTGGGTGTTATACACAAACAATGAATCTAGGAACACTACATAAAAAAAATAAATTTTTTAAAAAGTGTTATTTTTAATTCCCAAACGAATGAGAATTTTCTTTGTTTATCCTCTTATTTCCTTCTAATTCAATTTCATTCTGATCAGAAAAAGTGGTGTGCTTAATACCAATACATTGAAAACTTTTGAGACAATGCTACAGTCTAGTATAAGGTCCAGAAAACTTTTTTATAAAGGGCCAGATAGTAAATAGTTTAGGTTTTGTGTCTCTGTGTCACAGCTACTGGGCATTCAATTCTGCAAAAACAGCCACAGACAACATACAAACAAAAGGGTATGCTGTATTCCAAGAAAACTTCATCCACAAAAACAGGCAGCAAAGTGGATTTGGTCTACAAGCCATAGTTTGCCAACCCCTGCTCTAACACAGGGTCAAATTTTTATCAATGTTTCATGTATGTTTGAGAAGTGTAGTCTCTAATTCAGTGCTTCCCAGTCAGTGTCCTGTAAATGGATTGCAGGGGTGCTGTATAGTTAATCACGGTTCTGGACAGAACCTGGACTGGAGTAGTATATAGCCTAGTGTGCTATATGGGTATTATCATTAGCTTTGGGGATCATGAAGTGAAAATGTTTGGGATACATTGTTCTAAATGCTGAGTATAGGGTTCTAAATAGCAAGTGTGGATACATTGTTCTAAATGCTGAGTACAGGGTTCTAAATAGCAAGTGTGTGATAAATCAAACTTGTTACTATGTTGACCAAATTTTCTACAGCTTACTCATTTTTGGATTGCTTATCCTACCAATAACCAAAAATTATATCAAACTCTCCTACTTTAATGGTGGATTTGTTGGTTTCTTCCAGCTGTTCTGTCAGTTTGTGCTTTATATATTTGTAGGGTTTTGGGGTTTCTTCGAGGTGCATAGAACAATTCTGTCCTCTTGGAGAAGGAACTTTTTGTCGCCAGAGATCACCTTCATCCCTAGTAATTATTTTTTTGTCTAATAGTAACACAGCTACCATGCCTACATATATATGGCTAACTCAACTAGTTATATCATTTGTTTTTATTTTTTCAATTAATATGCAGTTAAATTGACTGTGTATCTGTGCATATGTAAAGTTTTATGAATTTAAACAGAACTATTAATTCATAAGCATAGATTCATCCAACCACCACAATCAGCTACCATCACAATCAGGACACACAACAAATCCATCACAGTAAACAGTCCCTTGGGCTAGCCCTCTGTAATCACACCCTCCCACCACCTCGCTCTAACCTCTGGCTACCACTGATCTTTTCTTCATCCCTATAGTATAGTCTTACTTTTGAGAGAATATCATATAAATGGGATCATACTGTAAAATTGGTATTATTTCTTCTTTTATTTTTTTTTAAAGATTTTATTTATTTATTTGAGAGAGAGAGAATGAGAGATAGAGAGCACGAGAGGGAAGAGGGTCAGAGGGAGAAGCAGACTCCCTGCTGAGCAGGGAGCCCAATGTGGGACTCGATCCCGGGACTCCAGGATCATGACCTGAGCTGAAGGCAGTCGCTTAACCAACTGAGCCACCCAGGCGCCCTTATTTCTTCTTTTAAAAAGTTTGGTAAAATTTGCCATTTAAACCATTTGGCCTAGGGAACTTTATTTCCAAAGGTTTTTAACAGATCTAATTTCTTTAAAGTCGTACAAACTATCCAAGTTATCTACTTCATTGTGGGTGAATTTTGTTAGTTTGAGGTTATCAAGGAATTAGGTCTGTTTCCTTTAAATTACTGAATGTACATGCACTGAGTTATTCATAGTGTTTCCTTATGATTCTTTTAATGTCTATTGGGCCTGTAGTGAAATTCCTTTCATTCCTGGTATTGGTAATCTCTGTATCCTCTTTTTTTTCTTGTTAGAAATTTCTACCAATTTTATTGACCTTTTCAAAGAATGAGCTTTTGAGTTCTTTGGTTTTTCTCTTTTGTTTTTCTGTTTTCTATTTCATTTATGCTCTTATCTTTATTATTTCCTTCCTTCTGCTTCCTTTTAGTTTACTTTGTTCTTATTTGCTTCCTAGGAAGCTTAATTACAGCTTTGAAACTTTTCTTCTTTTTTAAGTATTTAATGCTCTATATTTCCCTCTCAATATTGCCTTAGCTGCATTCCCATACATTCTGTATTTTCATTTCATTTGGTTCAAAATATTTTCCAGTTGACCTTGAGACCTCCTCTTTGACTCATGGGTTACTTAGTAGTGTGCTATTTAATCTTCGAGTGTTTGGAGACTTTCCTGATATCTTTCTATTATTGGTTTCTAGTTTAACTATTTTATAATCAGAAACCACACTCCATATGGAACAGAATTCTTTTAAATGTATTAAGGTTTGTTTTATGGCCCAGAATATAATCTACATTTGTGAACATTCCATCAGCACCTGGGAAGAATGTTTATTTCACTATTGTTGCGTGGAGTGTTCTACAAAAGTTAATTAGATCCAGTTTGTCAACAGCCCTATTCATTTCTATCTTCTTACTGATTTTCCTCTACTAGTTCTATTAATTACTGAGAGATGTTGAAGTCGCCAACTGTAATTATGGATTTCTGTATTTCTCCTTTTAATTCTGCCAGTTATTTTGTTAAGTATATACACATTTAGGATTATGTGTTCTTGGATATGATGGTTAACTTGATGTGTCAACTTGGCTAGGCTATGGTGCCCAGTTGTCTGGTCAAACACTAATCTAGGTGCTATTATAAATATTTTGTAGATGGGATTGCCACTTCCAGTCAGTTGACTTTAAGTAGACTACCTGATAATGTGAGTCTCATCCAATCAAATGAAGGCCTTAAAGAGCAAAGACTGAGGTTTGCTGCAGAACAAGGAATTGTGACTCAAGACTATTAACACAGAAATCCTGCCTGACTTTCCAGCCTGCCAGCTTGCCCTACAAATTTCAGATTTGCCAACCCCCACAACTGCCATCAGCCAATTCCTTAAAATCAATCTGTGTGTGTGTGTGTGTGTGTGTGTGTGTCTGGAGAACTATGGAGAAGTCTCCACTGTCCGATATTAAGATAACTCCAGCTTTCTTTTGATTAGTGTTTTCATGGTATATAGTTGTTATCCTATAATTATACTTGTGGATTTCTTATAGACAGCATATAGTTGGGTCATTTTTTTTTAAGTTTATTTATTTATTTTTAAGTAATCTCTATACTTAACATGGCCTAAAATTCATGACCCCAAGATCAAGAGTTGCATGCTCCTCTGACTGAGCCAGCCAGGCACTCCTAGTTGGGGCATATTTAAAACCAATTCTAACAATGTCTGCCTTTAAATGGTGATTTTGGACCATTTATACTTAATATAAATATTGATATATTTAGATTTAGGTCCACCATTTTACTGGTTTATCTATTTGTAAAGCAAATTAATATTGTCTGCTTTGTCTTCTATTTAAATAAATTATTTTGTTTTTTAAAACTGTAATACGTATCATTCAACAAAAGCTCAATTAAAAATTATTTGCAGGGTGCCTGGGTAGCTCAGTCAGTGGAGCATCTGACTCTTGATCTCAGGTCTTGATCTCAGGGTTGTGAGTTCAAGCCACATATTGGGCACGGAGCCTACTTAAAAAAATATACATATATTTGAAAAGGAAGAGAAACAAAGACTTTTAGAATCTCCACCTAGAAGAAAAAATCTTTACCTGGACCTGCAATTATCACAGCATTTTTCAGTTCCCATAATACCCATGGAGGCCCTTCGTAGTTGTTTGTCTTCAAAATGAGACAAGATGAGTCTACCCAAGAGAAAATTTAAAATTAAATAAAAGAACAAACCATATATGTTAAAATCATTGCTGAAAATAATGAGGTGAAATCATCACTAATTGATTGACCTGGGATCTCATTATCTAGCTTCAGTTTACTGAGGCACAAGGACAGTTGCCTTAAAAATTCAGCACATATGTAACACCAACAAAATATTGTTTCTAAGTACTTCTAATTATTTTGCAAGACTTTTTCTTAAAAAAGCACCATTCATAACTCTGTTATTAATTAATATAAAACAAATAATACATACTTTCGCCTACATCTTCCGGAGTGAAGATATTTTTCCATCTTTGCCATCATCTGTAATTTGTATAATCGAAACTTTTCATTGGGAATCTCACTAAGGCGGTGCCTGTCAATTACAAATATCACAGGAATATATAAAATTGCATTAGCAATTTTGTTACTTTTACATTTATTACTGTTTACTTTTCATAATATAAAGCTCCTACACCTCTACCAAGATAAAAAAAAATTTTCTACCATCCCAGAAAGTTACATGTTCCTTTCCAGTCAATGCCCCCACAAGAGGCAAGCATTTTTCTGACTTTTATGAAAATTACTTTTGAAAGAATTCTGTACCTATGTCCAAGCATCAATTTTTTAGCTGCCTTTAAAAAATTATTATAGGGGCACCTGGGTGGCTCAGTCGTTAAGCATCTGCCTTCAGCTCAGGTCGTGATCCCAGGGCCTTGAGACCAAGCCCCACATTGGGCTCTCTGCTCTGTGGGAAGCCTGCTTCTCCCTCTCCCACTCCCCCTGCTTGTGTTCCCTCTCTTGCTGTCTCTCTCTCTGTCAAATAAATAAAAATAAAAATAATAAAATAAAAAATTATTATAAACCCTAAAGTTTTTCATTTTGATTTATATGCTACATGCTTTTTGGCAATCTTTCCACTGTATATGAATTTTTACATTTTCCTAGTAAAAGGTTATTTTATCTGAGAAACTAAAAACAAACTGAAAGAGGATCATAATCCAAATATGAGCCTTCATCCCTATTTGCTCTTCAGAGGATTTCTCATGCCCCTAAAACTATCCCTTTGTACTATATTCTATTATGGGATACCAATGAAACACCAGAATTAATTTCTTCCTTCAAACAATTATAACTGATTTTTTCCATAATACTGAATTTATTTAAAACTGTTAGCACTAAAGACATGTTTGTTCGTTTTTAAAAAGTTAATTCTAGTCTACTGTGAAGAAATTCCATGAATATCAGACATCAGAAGATGACGATAATCTCCCAATAGCTGTGCACGTCTTTCCAAGAATTCTTTCAAGAATAAACAGAAGTCTGAGTTGAGTAGATTTCAGATATTTCAAAAGAAAACAATGTTTGCATATAAGATCTAATTGATAATATTGATCCTCATTAAAACGGATCCTTACCTTTGACTATTCAAACTTCTGACTGATAAAAATACCTCTGTACAATTCTCAAAGATGACACCAACAGGCAATCCAGTTAAGTGCCTTCTGGGAAGTCTGAACACACAAATGACTCCTTATTCAAAAACCTTATGATCTGACACCACCAACCACCATGACTTTCCATATAATTTACCTAAAAGTCTCTTCCAACTGTTGACTATAGTTCCTCCTGATCTCATTCTTCCTAGCCAATGGCCTAAAAATTATAGTCGACCATTAAGCAACACAAGTTTAAACTTCATCGGTCCACTTACACGTGAATTTTTTTTATAAATACAGTACAGTACTGTAAATGTATTTTTTCTTATGATTTTTTAAAATAGCATTTTCTTTTCTCTAGCTTATTATTTATGGTAAGAATACAGTATGTAATAGATATAACGTATGAAATAAGTGCTAATCTACTGTTTATGTTATCCATAAGGCTTCCAGTCAACAGTAGGCTATTAGTGTCAAGTTTTGGAAGAGTTAAAGGTTGTATGTAGATTTCTGACTGTGTGGGGGAGTCAGCACTCCTAACCCTCAGGTTGTTCAAGGATCAACTGTAGTTCTTTTTTTGCTTTGTTTGTTTAGCTCACCTCCTCCTCAGAAAGAACAAAGAAAACAAACATCTACACTCGGAAGTACTATAGCCTCCCTTATATTTGGTTCAGATGACCTACATTTAACTAATGTTCTCATTATCATTGTCAGTAACAAATCTGAAAAAATAAAATTACAAGTCTCTAAAAGCCAATCTAGTAAATATTTATTCTACTTTTGGGACTATTAAAGTACAATATTTCACATAATAAAAATAAGTTGAAAAAGAAGAAAAATTCTGAAAGCAATCCATAAATAAAAATAGATGGAACCAGCTGGAAAATTTATTAAATTGAAATTAACTTGCAAATTATTCCCTTTAAAAAAAGGTTACAATAACTATTGGGTTTGACTGTTTAAAATAACAGCAAATGCAGACACTGAGACATTGCTAAGTGGTATAGCTTCTGCAATAGGAAATATAAAATTACATACTGACGCTGATGACTGGACAAGTTTCTTCTCTCAATCATAGCATTCTAGCATAAGATACCCTCTAAAAATTTTATGAATTACAGTAATCTTTTCACTGAGAACCAGCAACCCCATTTATTCTCAAACTTTGTTTCTTCCAATAGAAGAGATTTGTCACAAGGATGACACAGATCTGTCCTAAATCCTCGTTGAATTCTTTTTTATCATGATTAACCCTACAGGTTTATTTCCCTTAGTATGGATGCAAAGAACAACCTGTCTATACTAAAATTCAAGTACGGGGTTCCTGGCACCATTACTCAATTACTACTCACTAATATTTCTTGTGAAATTGTAATGAGATAACCATATAAAGTATATTTTGAGACCCAGATAAACAGCAAGTATATCTACTGATGAACCTGCAAAGTCATAGTATAAAACTCAGGCTGTTAAGTGTTCAGCACCTTTAGTATAATATATAAATAAATCAGAATCGGTAGGAATCAACATATGTTTGATACAATCCCAAATTTATCAGATTTTAAATGTATTTAAATAGATATTTAATGTATTAGATATTAAAATGTATCAGATATACTGTGCTCGATCCCAGTTATTTTAGTTTATAAAAAGCACGACAGTCAAAAGAAAAATAACTGTTCTGTTTAAGGGGGATGGTTTTATTGACTATGTTAAGAACCAAAAGCTACCACTGTTCTTAAAAGGAAGAGCTTAAAATTTATACCAAACATTTTTACCTAATTAATCCCTATTCTTCTTTCAGATCTCAACTCACCCTATCAATTCTTGAAGGCAGACTTTCCTGAACTTTTTAACTTGATAAATACACATCCTATTATATACTTACTACCCAATGCAACTTTCCTTCACAGTACTTAACACAGCAGTAATTTTACACAGATTTGCATGATCCCTTTTAAAATCTCTTTTGATTACTGAAATTGTCAAACAGAAGTAGAGAACAGTAAAATGAACCCTATGTATCCACAGTTGTGTGATTCTGTGATTAAGAGATGCCATTTCTGTTATACACTAAGCTCTCTGAGAACAGGTACCATATCTGTTTTTATTTATCATTGTATCCCCAGCAAAGAGCATAATGCTTAAAATATAGTGGGCACTCAAAACAAAACATTGCTGAATGATGCATAAAAATAAAAACTGTACTGGATAGGTACTCTCATCATTTTAATAATAGGAGCTAATATGCCCATTCAAGAGCTCAGTTTATTCAGCAACATGGATGTGCATTTTGAAAATACCTCATCTGAACAGCTCCATTAGTTACCATATATAAGTTTTTTTCCTGAGATTTTATCCCCCTATGGATGGAGGAATCAGTTGCTAAACCCTGCCCCTAAAGTTTTTGCAAGATGAAGTTTTCCTTTCCAATATAAATCTCATAGAACTTAAGTACCAATAAAAGACTTGCTTCATGTTTAAGTAGAATGATCTCTTCCTACATTTAAACACTGAACACTTAATTTTTTTCATGGCAGTCAATCAGTAGAGTGAATGGGTACAGTGCAACATGATTATTCACATACAGTCAAGGACAGCTTGCATGCTTTCATAGAACTAACAAAAGAAACAAATGGTAAAGAGACTCAAATAGGGATTGGTAAAAGTCACTTGGAATAAGCACAGGAAGAAAGAACCAATAACAAAATAAACAGTATCTAAAGAAAACTATGGCTGAAGACATATCAAAACTTGAGAGGACCTGGGGAGAAAAAAAGTTTGTCCATGTACATTAGGAAAGCACCCACAGGATCCATGTTCCATTCCCAGTATACTCCTGATTTAGTTAATTCTTCACACTAAATGAAGTATAGCTGAAATTAGGTCATCTCCCCTGGGTGGCAACACTTACCACAAAGGTTCTTAGATGTCCTCTGTTTTGTTTTGGTTTTAAATGCACTTGTACACATTACTTGAAATTTTGCATGTCGCTTCAAATACTTTCAATGCTTATATGGAAACAAAGAAATCTGCAAGGGTGAAAGCAATAAATGTTTTTACCTATTTATGTTAATGTCTGCTGGAGCCCAGAGTATATGACAAGAACTCTGAAGTCCATCACGGCCAGCTCTCCCAATCTCCTGGTAATATGATTCCATTTCCTTAGGAGCACCATAATGAATGACTCTGCGAATGTCAGCTTTATTAATGCCCATTCCAAAAGCTATGGTAGCCACGACACACTGAGAATAAATAAAAACATAGTTTGACAAGTATGTAGCAGAACCAAAACCTGACATCTTTACCTTTTGGTAAGAGTAATAATTAGTTCATTAACTAACCTCCCTAGCATGAAACTGAATTTAATATAATTAAAACCAATCACTTACAGATCAAAAGATTATCTGCCCAATTTACAAATTAGGGATTAGTAACCCTAAAATAGGATTTCTATTTAATCCCTATAAAAAATAGCAACTAAAGTGGTCTCTCTGAACACCTATGAGTGAGTACAAGACACAAAATAGGCTCTTAAAATACTTATTATATTAAAAGAGACCTTGTGTTATCATGAAGTTTCAAGAGTCCTTACCTGATTGCCCAGTATCTTAATATTTTCTAGCATCGTTCCAAGATGGAAGGAAACTTTTCATTAAAGATGATAAAATGAAACATGAATTTAACCCTATATCTTTAAAATAGGATAAAACTGGTAGACATCTAACATATATGAGCATCCTGAAATGAGATTTACATGATTGGGAGGAATTTTAGGGAAGAATTAAGTGATAAGAACATACAAAAAATTAGAAAAAATTTTAAAGTATTAACAATAAAAGATGTGCAATAAAAGTAACTATAATATACTACATGGCTTAGAGATAAAAAGCATTTACAGAGAAATAATTATGTAAATATATATTTGAATATATATATTGATCTAACCAAATTATGTTAATGTTGGGAGGAAAGCAGGTTAGAAATACATAAACAGAGTGAGCAGAGGGCAGGAAGGGGTGTGAAAGGGAGCTAAACTTTCACTCCTCATAGTGGGAAGTCAATAGACAATGCCTAAATCTAATAAATAAAAACTAAGTAGTAAGAGTAAAAGCAAATCACTGCAAGATTTGGTGGTAAACACAAAAAGAATAAACCAAAAGAGATGAGAATAGGAGACAGAAGTGGGGAAGGCAGGAGGGGTTGATGTTCTCATTTTAAGCACTGTAGAAGTAGCTGGGTCTTTAAACTATGTGTATGTATAACCAATAAAAATTAAAGTGCTATTTAAAAAATGTATTAAGGGGTGCCTGGGTGGCTCAGTCGTTAAGCATCTGCCTTTGGCTCAGGTCATGATCCAGGGTCCTGGGATGGAGCCCCGCATCGGGCTTCCTGCTCAGCGGGAAGCCTGCTTCTCCCTCTCCCACTCCCCCTGCTTGTGTTCCCTCTCTTGCTGTTCTCTGTCAAATAAATAAATAAAATCTTTTTAAAAAAATGTATTAAGATGGAATAAGAATAGAAGACAGACAGAAAGAGAGGGGTGGGGGAGAGAGGAAGAAAGAAAAAGAAAATGCTGAACAGATAAAAGTAAGTATAAGAAAAGTGAGAGAGAAAAAAACATCGAAATAGAAATTTATTAAGAAAAAGCTTTGAGGGGCACCTGGCTGGCTCAGTCAGTAGAGCATGTGACTCTTCATCTTGGGGTTCTGAGTTCAAGTGTGAAATTGGGTATAGAGATTACTTAAAAATAAAATCCTAAAAGAAAAAACTTTGAGTGGGGGTGCCTGGGTGGCTCAGTCATTAAGCGTCTGCCTTCGGCTCAGGTCATGATCCCAGGGTTCTGGGATCGAGCCCCACATTGGGCTCCCCGCTCACTGGGAAGCCTGCTTCTCCCTCTCCTGCTCCCCCTGCTTGTGTTCTCTCTCTCGCTATGTCTCTCTCTGTCAAATAAATAAATAAAATCTTTAGCCTGCCGCTCCTGGGAAAGAGAGAGGCCACCACTGCAGGAGGGTAGAGAAGAGTATGGCAACTCTGGGAGGGAGTGCGCCCGCCCCATCTGAGCCTTGGAGCACTGCCAGACCAGGAGGACAGTTGTGAAGCCAGTGCACTTTTGATTCAATGGGGCTGAATGAGCCATGAGGTAGATGGTTAGTAGTATTGTGCTTTGACATAAGATCCCAGGAGAAGGAGCAAGATGGCGGAGGAGTAGGAGACCTAAATCTCGTCTGGTCCCAGGAACTCAGCTAGATAGGTATGAAACCATACTGAACACCTACAAACTCAACAGGAGATAGAAGAAAAGAAGAGCAGCAACTCTCTAAACCAAAAAGCGACCACTTTCTGGAAGGTCTCTTCTGATTTGTTTAGTGTATATTTTTCTGGGGTCGCATTTTGTTCTCTCATTCATCTGTTCTCTTCTGGACGAAATGACAAGATGGAAAACTCACCTCAAAAAAAAGAACAAAAGGCAGTACCGACTCCCAGGGACCTAATCAATATGGACATTAGTAAGATGTCAGAACTAGAGTTCAGAATGATGATTATAAAGATACTAGTTGGGCTTGAAAAAAGCATGGAAGATACTAGAGAAACCCTTTCTGGAGAACTCAAAGAACTAAAATCTAACCAAGTCAAAATCAAAAAGGCTATTAATGAGTTGCAATAAAAAATGGAGGCTCTAACTGCTAGGATAAATGAGGCAGAAGAGAGAATCAATGATACAGTAAACCAAATGATAGAGAATAAAGAAGCTGAGAAAAAGAGAGATAAACGACTACTGGATCATGAGGGCAGAATTCGAGAGATAAATGATACCATAAGACAAAGCAACATTAGAATAATTGGGATCCCAGAAGAAGAAGAGAGAGAGGGGAGGAAGGTATATTGGAGCAAATTATAGCAGAGAACTTCCCTAATGTGGGGAAGGAAACAGGCATCAAAATCCAGGAGGCACAGAGAACCCTCTTCAAAATCAATAAAAATAGGTCAACACACCAACATCTAATAGTAAAAGTTACAAGTCTCAGAGACAAAGAGAAAATCCTGAAAGCAGCTCAGGAGAAGAGATCTGTAAACTACAATGGTAGAAACATTAGATTGGCAACAGACCTATCCCCAGAGACCTGGCAGGACAGAAAGGACTGACATGATAGATTCAGAGCACTAAATGAGAAAAATATGCAGCCAAGAATACTATATCTAGCTAGACTGTCACTGAAAATAGAAGGAGAGATAAAAAGCTTCCAGGACAAACAAAAACTAAGGGAATTTGCAAACACAAAACCAGCCCTACAAGAAATATTGAAAGGGGTCCTCTAAGCAAAGAGAGAGCCTAAAAGTAATAAAGACCAGAAAGGAACACAGACAAAATACAGTAACAGTCACCTTACAGTCAATACAATGGCACAAAATTCATAACTTTCAAAAGCCACCCTGAATGTAAATGGACTAAATGCCCCAATCAAAAGACACAGGGTATCAGATTGGATAAAAAAAACAAGACCCATCGATATGCTGTCTGCAAGAGACTCA